GGGAAGGTTGCACGGGAGGAGGATCGGAGTCGGGGGGGAGCGGGATCAGAGTCGCGACAAGAAGAAGAAGAAGAAGAAGAAGAAGAAGAAGAAGAAGAAGAAGAAGAAGAAGAAGAAGAAGAAGAAAAAAAAGAAAAAGAAGAAGAAGAAGAAGGAAAAAACGAAGAGAAAGAAGAAGAAGAAGAAAATAATTGGAAGAAGAAGAAAGAAAAAAAAAATAAAAAAAATTGTCATCGATTACTTATCTGCACCGTGGAACAGCGACGGCGATGATGAGGATGACGTGGCGCAACGACGAGGACAACGAGCATGACGACGACGTCGATTTCGACGATGACGATGATGACGTGGCACGAGGACGACGTTCTCGTCGATGATGATGTGACGCGGCGACGACGATGACGATGACGATGGCGATGATGACGTGGAACGGGGACGAAGCAGGGTGGGTCGGGCGGGTTCGAACCGCTCCGATACTAGTGTAACGAGCGTGTGGCTGAGGGAGACAGGGAGAGTCGAGGGAGAGGGGAGAGACAGGGAGAGAGTGAGAGCACACACACACACTCACTCACTCGACACGACTGAGGGTCGGACGCAAACACAGTGGCAAGGACACAAAGTCGAAGTCTTGGATTCTGAATGCCGAACAGAGGAGCAAGTCACACTGAGTCCGAGTACAACAGCTGAAACTGGTGCGAGCTGGCCCCCGTACTGTACGGGGAGCCGGTATAAGTACTGGTGACATGTACGGTACCAGGGGCATTTCTGCAAAGGCCCCGAGGGCAGAACTGAAAAATGCGGTATTTGAAAGTGGCGCCCGAATTGCAGCATGGCGCCAGTTGTTCAAAATCCTAACGGGATGCAGCCGAAACAGCAAAAAGATAGACCAGGGATCGAGCCCTGGCGGAGTCAGTAACAATTTATGTCATGAAGCATCCATAGAGAATCGTTCACCGACCTATGAAATGTTGCTTTTAATACCAGCGTTAATTTGAATGTTGCTCGAACATGGCAAACGTTGCTCCAACCTGAAAATTAAAACAGGTTTTTTTCTGTTGAAGAGGCGAGGGCAGGCGATGTCGCAGGCCTGGGGGAGGACGACGAAGCGCTGGTGCACAGGGTGCGTCGGCGAAGTGCACGGGATGGAATCGAGGCGGCGTCGAAGCTGTGGGTGGACGACATCCGCTTCTGGAACGAAACAGAAGGGAACGCCATTGTGAAGTTAATGCAGGAAGCGGGCTTTTATCTTGTTGCGGTGGCGCGGGGAGTGTCGAAGCATCGTCTTGCCTCATACGACCATCCCGTAGCACAAAATGGACGACGGATCGGAGTTCAACGCTGGGCAGGAGAGGGCATTGAAGGTGCAGACCATCACTTTGCAGGTGATCCATGGGTGGGTCTTCAAGTCGACGAGTAGGCAACGAGGGTACCACGCTGTGTACGGGTACGCGTTGAACCACGAGGCCACTAACATCTCTCGCACGATCTGGATGGGGGAGGACTGACGTGTATGTGTGAGCCCCATGGCGTTCCACATCACGTTGGACATGGATATGCAGTTGCCACTATGGTTCGTGGGGGCCAATATCGAAGACAGGCACGAGAAGGACGAGTTGGCGGCATATCAGGAGGTGAGAATCCGGCGACTGGTGGGGGCGTTCACCAGCGCCGTGAGCGCGGCGGAGGGGATCGACGGCGGCCGGGTGTCGCACGAAAGGTTGAAGAGCGTTGCCGAAGCGATGAGGATCTTGCTCGCAGCAACCATGTGGCTCATGCGGATGAGCGGGGATGATCATCACGCGCATTACGACGCCGGAGACGGGGGTTGGGGTGGGGACGATGCCGGTGGTCATGGTGGTGGACGTTTCCGTGACGTTGATCATCACCGTCCCGGATCGGTTGTCGTAGGGGTTTTGCATGAACCTTTTGTTTTCTTTAAAGGTTCATTTTTTTTTCCGAATATGGCAAATCGAGGTTCGCATCTGTGAGAGCGAACATGTAATTGTGTTGATTTATATTCTTGACGTCTACGTGTTGTTGTCGCTTTCTGTTTTGTTCTGCTTTCATTTGCATTCAAGAAAGTTATGGTAAGGGGGACGTAATAGGGTCGGCGATGCTTGCTTGAACCGATGGTTGATGACAAAGTGAGGGATGTTCACACACGACATTGCACATGTTGGAAGCAGAGATGGAAGTACAAATAACACACAACAACGTCGTGTAATTGTGTACTTTTCATTCGTCCACAAAGAAGAAGACAAGCCGCGCGACATCATAATTGACAACGATAAGTAAGAAAGTACATTGTTGTATCTCGTACAAAGAAAATAGTGGATGAAGACACACTTTGCAAAAAAAAAAGGCGTTGAAGGCAACTTCAATCCAAAGTTCCGGAAAACAGAACACACGATGAAGACTCGACTACACACACGTCACCCGCGGTGACACCACACCACACGACAACTACGATCGACACATGCACGCGCGCCACATCGCCCCCGCCGATTACACGTTCGACTGCGCCATCGCCATCAACCCCTAGGCGCGGACACCCTCTTCAAGGGCGCGCAATGTGAAACAAAACGGTAAGAAATTGACGACACACGCCACCCAGTGCACGGCAACCCACAGCGAGACAGGCACCAGTGCTTCAACTCACCAATTCCGTTAAACGGCCCCACACACACAACGACCCCAACTCAGACGACCACCTCGTCCAGTACCAAACGCCCCCCGCGTCATCTGCTCCGATTTCTCGCATGCTCTCCGCGTCGCCCGCTACGATTTTTCGCCACATGCACATCATCGCAGCCGACTGCTCTGCACGCCTGGCCGTGTTCACTGCGCACCCATTCTCTCCGCCAGTGCGTCCCGCCAAATGAGCGCATCCCCTGTCGACGACTCCATACACATCAGCCTCAAGGGACGCTCCATCCCAAGATCCACCCTGCAACGCACACCGTCCGGGCCGACCTCCCACAGTAGATTGTCGTCGAAGGGGATGCTCGCGTCGACGAGTATGTTGTGCAGAATGCAGACGGCGACGAACTGCTGTGGCAACGTATCTATGTTCGTCTTGTGAGAACGAAGGAACAACATCGATATCCCTTTCAGTCTGCCGAAAGCCCTCTCAACTGCTCCCCTCGCCATCTTCTGCTTGTTGTCGAAACGCAACTATGACGGGGTTTGTGAGAGACCGCCGTAGGGGACGACTACCCATTTGGAGGGCGAATAACCGTTGTCCCCCAACAGATAGTCGTTCGTCTGCACACCGAAAGGCAGCATGACAGGTGGCCAGTGAAAAGTTCCCCTGCCTCCACGCGTGCCCATAAATTGGACAGGTGGACGATCCTCACGTCGTGGCAACTTCCCGGATAACGGACGAACACATCCAACACACGCAAGTTCAAATCGACGACGACCTGCGCCTGGACAGAGAAACGACATTTTCTATCGTAGTAGTCCCCCCCGGGGCAATTCGCTGGCTTGTCGATGAAGATGTGGGTGTCGTTGATGCACCCATGGCAGTTAGGGAAACCCTTGTCAGCGAAGGCGTGCAAGACGACCGCCTTCTGATGACCCGTCGGTCAGGATATCTTGTCGGGGTATGCACTCAGCAACACCGCAGTTACATCTCGCACAGCCACCAACCCGGAAGATCTGCCAATGCCGAAGCTCCACGTCCCGCTCTCGTACGTCTCCCCCGATGCCCACTTGTACAAAGCGTACGCGACAATGTGGTCAGGTTGGAGGGGCTCCCTATAGAAAGTGACAAGCCGTTCAAGGAAGGGAGACAAAGCTTCCGTGATATCTCGGAACACACGTGGCGACATGCGCAACTTGTCCTTCAAGTAGTCCGTCGTCGCGTCGTCGTATTGCCGAAGATCCTCCCACGTCCCGCCTGTCCGTCGCTTCATCCACCACCTAGGCGTCGCTCTGGGGAACGCTCCACACCCCATGGCGTAGCACACCTGCAGCACGGCGCCGCAAACAGCACCACTGTCCTTTCCCTCCACATTCGTGGACTGCAGCGTCCTCTTCTGCCGTGCGCGAATGACCGCTCTCATCCTCCCCTCGCCCCTTTGCAATTGACATCGGAAGAGGATGGCGTTCACAGCCGTTGCCACCACCGTCCTCTCCGCCTTGCTTAGTGTGTCACGTCCCGACCCCCCGTTCATGGCCATCGCCGAAACTGGGGAAGACTCCACGTGTGGCGGGTTGCAGAACAGCGCTGCTACGAATGACGACCTGAGTGCACAGCGTAGACTACTAGACGTTGACGATCAAGCTCGCCTGCGAAGACGACAACAACGGCGACCGTGTTACAGCGTGTCTCCTGCTTCGGACGCGTACATGTGCTTTCGTCATGCCCACAGGCACGCAGCCGCCACCCCGAAACGCTTCCGCCGAGGAACGTTGCTGACGTCAGCCGCAAGGGACGCCCACAGTGCTGGATGGTCGCTTGCGGAAATTCGAATTTCGAACTTGGGACTGTGTGCCATTTTTGTGCCATTTTTTTTTTTATGCCGCCAACTTCGAATTTCGCGTGGGCCGCCTGAGCTGGACGAACGACGTGGGCACGAACACACCTAGATGGACCAACCGCCCCTCCCCCCCCGTGTCCGCTCGTCGATATATGAAACTGGCCGCGGAAGGCCCCGAGGAATCGTCCTCAGGGAACAATTCCGAGGATGAGTGGAACGACAGCACGAATTTCCTCAGGCGACGACGGGAGAATTTCCTCGGGTCCCGAGGACGGCCCGAGGAGTGTCGAGCGAGCCCCTCAGCACGAAATCTACCAATCCAGACAGAAGGTGATTGTATGAGCTACTCCAACACCAGATGAAAACTTACCAAGTGTTGCGCAGTCTTTCTTATACAACTCTCGCTGCTGACATCTACTACCTACTCCACAGGCCTACTACGGCCTGGAAAACTGGTCTATACGACCGGTCGGAACTATATGTTCCAAGGATCGCTGGCACTTTCCCCCTCTCCAACATCATCTGACCTCCCATTGTCCAAGCCGAACCGAGATGCCCTTTTTTTTTTTTTTTTTTTTTTGTAATAGAGGGCCCTGTGCCAAATGCTTTTTTTTTTTTTTTCCTTAAAAGCTCCAGTCTATTCGTGGGGAGCAGCACGTGCTGGGAACCAGGCCCAGCGTCCCATATGAACATACATCAGTTTGTAACACCGGGGCCATTACCCGGCTTCGGCTGAGAAAAACCTGAGAATAGAATGCTTCAAGCACTTACGAAATCAAAAACCTTCGAAAATTCGATAGCTGATGATACTAATGATACCAGTGATGATGACCAAAGAATATAGCTACCCATGCTAAGTCAGCCATACAGGACTCCTAATCCTGGACAACTCCAAACCCTCCCTTACCGGGATATTGCAACTCAGGAATAAGACAAACCTATCCCCCCACTGCCATAGCTGATCTGTTCTCACTACCCAGACTAACCCCACCCCATAAGTTGTCAAGGTACCCCCCCCTGGTTCACCATTGGCTTGCTTTCCTCCCTCAGCAAACCCCAAATCTCTTTACAAGGCCTCCCATCCCTGCCAATTGCAGGTTACAGGGCTATGCCCCAGCTCCGGCCAGCGTTGTTCTGGCATCGGCAATACAGGAGCACAGAACAAAGCAACTTCAGCAGTTATCAGTCTAGGTTCGACAATCCCTGAATTCCTGTATCCTAATTAAAGAAGAAGACTAGGTGCTGCCAAGATTGTAAAGCAGTGGATGACTGGTTTTGAAGTTTGAACTGTATCGAAATTATCAGATTTTTTTTGACACATTGAGTTTATTAGATCATGAAAAGGATACGCTTCCATTGGTTACAACTCAAACCAATCCATACCCACTGTACCCTGTCTCATGCTGCCTCCACCGAGGAAAATCCCTCGGCCCCAACATAAAACAGATCCCCTCCCCTCCCTCCACCTTATCTGCGAAGGCAACCAATCCCCTCCTAGAGGCTGCCTTTGCCCACCCCTTGTCCCTGTCTGCCCCCGCTGGGGTTGAAGGCGACCTACTCTCCAACCCCAGCCCCAGACTCAGACAATCCCCAATCTGCCCTTCTCCCAATAGGGCTACTGCCTCCCACCATGCAACACCCCTGTAGAATAAGGCTCCCCTATAATAGACCCCTGGGTTAATTTTTCGGGGACAGCTAACTAGAGTCTATACCCACAACTGGCCAGCCCTATCTCTCCTTCCCCTAGCTTACCCAAGGCCAGGCGGAGCCCAGGCTGACAGTCCTACCATCCGTCCCCTGGCTTGTCCCCTAACTTAGGCCAGACGGATCTCAGACCTGCTATGGATAACTACCGTATGTCTGTACCCTGGAGTCTCAAAACCCCCCTGCCTACCAAAGTTTCAGCCGTAACCTTCGAAGTCCTATCCCCACTAAAGCGTCTGCAAAATTCAATGTTCAAAATCCCCAATTAGGAAAAAAAACTCATGAAAAAATGAAATAAAGAAAATTCACCTTACCCCAATCAGGGGGAACAGGCAGGGCAAAACCTAGTGGTGAATTTTTTAGTAAACAATCCCAACATGAAAACGTTATGTCTGAAATTACTGCTACAAATAGTAGTAATCAAGAAGTAGGTAATCGGGATATAGGTAATCATGATATAGGTAATCTAGATGTAGGTAATCAAGATATAGCTAATCAGGATGTAAATATTAATGACTACTGGATAATTGGGTAGCCGAAAACGGTACCCTGAGACTAAAAGGTTTTCAGATGATATTAATATTGATGATGGTAGTGATGATGATGGAAATGTTATAGATGACTATTTGAGTGAAACAGTAGCCTAAAAATAGTGGTGACGATCAACTTCGCCTACAAATGAGAGCTGTGAGGATGATAGTGTTGATGATCGTGATACAACAGATGATAGCTATGAGGATAATAGTGTTGATGATCGTGATACTATAGATGGTGAAAATCACTATAGTAATGACTAAACACCCATAGAGATGTAATGATGATGAGGATGTCAACTAATTATCCATTATGTTGATGACGATCGCCTTGCCGCAAATGATGATGACTAGTAATCTTGATGACGACTTGCTGATAGTGTTGACGAACTCGAGCTTGATGACGGACCGCGCTCCATGCTGTCATACCTCCGATCTGCAAGCTTGGCGTACTTCAGACTATGAATTACACACTTCCATGTCACCTTGGGCTATCTCCACTGCGATCTCCCTCAAGCGCCTTGTTGCCACTTCACCTTGCTACGTGGCCGCGCGGGAATCTTGCGTGGACCCCGTGAAACGGGGCGGTCCCCTGGACACGTCAACCAGTGACGTGGTGAAGACCAGGACCTAGGCTCACGGCGTGTGTGCTAGGCGCAGTCCCCTGCCCCCATCGTCCTCATCGCCCGACACACTCGAATTTCATGGCGCGCCCTAAATCTTCGATATCTCATGATCCACTAGACCATTTGATCTGAAATTTGGACCACCTCAGCTCCTCGACATAAACCACCGGTGGTCCAATTTTCAGCTCAGGGCGCGCGCCCAATCGCGCGCAATCGTCGAGCGCACGCGCGTTATTTTCCTTACGCGTGCAATTTTCAAGCGCGCGCGGCTCCTCTCTGTGGCGGTAACCTTGATTGATGATTGATGATGCCGGGGCGGAGCGCTCCCGGTAGCGCTGCGCCCCCACTGCATAGAGTCTTGAGAATGATGGAAATCAATCCCTGTGCCCAAGACTGATATTACCAATAAGAGGAATGAGGCCGGGGTCCTCACAGTCTGCCCGGAGAAACAAAACCGAACTTGCTGAGAACCAAGCTCAGCATCCCTCATGTGGTGACTATGATGATGATGTCCTGATGATGATGATGATCCTGATAATGATGATGATGATGATGATGATGATGATGATGATACTACTGATGATGATGCTGATGGAGATACAAAATTGTATTAACTGTAGTAAGTTATGCTATATCAACAATTCTGGTGTCCTAATCCTAGAGCAACTTCTAACCCTCCCTATACCAGGACATTGTAAAACAGAGACAATACCAACCTAACCAATTTCACCCATAGCCGATCTCTCCTCGCCACAGAGCAACCCCCCCCCGGTTCGCCAGTGGATTGCCTTCCCCCCTGGGCAACCCCCAGATCTCTCTACAAGGCCTCACGCTCCTGCCTGTGCAGGTTACAGAGCAACGCGCCAGCTCCGGCCAGCGTCATTCTGGCGTCGGCAAAACAGGGGCACAAAAAAGAACAACTCTGCAGATATCGGTCCGGGTTCGACCATCCCTGAAATCCTATATCCTGGATGTGGAAGAAAACTCGATGTTGCCCAAAAGTTCCAGAACGCCAGAAAGCTTAATATAACATTGATGAGATAATGATACTAATGATGATGATGATATTGATGAAGATGATTATGCTTTTTTTTTTTTAGAATTCTAAAGAAATTGACTGCACCACCTTTATTAGATCTAAAGGATTGTGAATACTATGCTATATCAGTTATTCCGGCTTCCTAATCCGAGAGCAACTCCTAGCCCTCCCTGTACCGGGACACTTCTACTCAAAGACAATACCCACCAAAACAACATCAACCATAGCTGACCTCTTCTCGCCCCCGAGACTATCCTCGGCCCCAGAGGGTGTCAAGGCAGCCCCCCCAATTCGCCACTGGATTGCCTTCCTCCCTCGGCAAACCCCGGATCTCTCTACAAGGCCTCGCGCTCCTACCGTGGCAGGTTACAGGGTAACACCCCAGCTCCGACCAGCGTCGTTCTAGCATTGGCAAGTTGAGAGCATAGAACAGAGCAACCCTATTGATGTCGGTCCAGGTGTAACCATCTCTGAGGTCGAAGATCCTAATAAAGAAGAAGACTCGATGCTGATCTAGCTCTCAGAACCCAGAACGCTGAAAATAACATGATTGGCCCAAGAAGCTTCCAATAGTCACCGCGCAGAGAAAAATTCCCCCTACACCACCACCGCTGTCCCACGCTGCCACTGCCGAGGAGATTCACCTCGGCCCCAACCTGGAACAGATCCCCTCCCTCCCCCCTCCGCTAAGGCAGCCAATTCCCACCTAGAGGGTGCCTTCGTCCTCCCCTTTGTCCCTGTCTGCCCCCGTCGGGGTTGAAGGCGACCAACTCTCCCACCCCGGCCCCAGACAAGGACAAACCACAAATCTGCCCCACCCCCAACTGAGCAGCCACCTCCCACCTTGCAACGCCCCTGTAGAGTAAGGCTCCCCAACGCCCCCCCACCCATTCCTGAAAAATCCCCACCGTGACCGCAGAAACCCTAGCC